CACCTTTTTTTCCTCAAAAGAAAAAATAATAACCTGTTATGTTAAATAAGTATTTTTTTTTTTTTTTTGCAGTACCAGGGGTTGAAAAATGAATATCCTTTTGAACTGATTTACTTGATGTGCCCACAAGGAAGCAGTAATGCATTCACATACACAGCCTGACCCCCTACAAAATCGTTTCCTTAGTACTGCAGCTAAATCATATTAGATGAGCATGTTTATAAATGATTGCATTTATAAATATATACATAAATTTCATATAGATATAGATAGATACACAAAATGCTAAGAAAGTAGAAAACCCAAGATTCTTGAAACAGTAAGTTTCAAATGGTAATTTTAGGAAATAGAGCAAAACATTTTCTATGTAATTTCACTTCTGACGCAGAATATATTTAAGTGTGTTTCTTAAACAATTAAGTAAACCTCTCTTTGTCGTGTGCAACCCAGCCCACTCCAGAATAAACGGATTGACAATGCAAGAAGAAAAATATCACTAAAATATTTTCATTTATTTATTTATTTATTTATTTAATTCTTTCATTGCTCTTGCTGTCCTAACCTTTAGGAACACTCTTCAGTTATTAAGTAGTCTTAATATTTTGTTCTGGGAAATAGGTCAGAACACTGCATCAGACAAACAACGATATGGCAGAGATAACTAATAGACATTGTTGGCATGTCCAACAAGGGCCCACCTCTGAGTCTAGTATTAAGATTTGTCTTCCCCCTTTTTTGGTCCCCCTAAATTTTCCTATGCAGGCACTTCTGAGCAAAAAGTATCTTTACATATCAACTTTGATACAGATCAGCAATGTGAGTAGAACATTTGCTAAACTGGGCAGGCTACCGAGAGAACACTATGAACAAGATTTCTCAGATTTCAAGTCCATTGGATTAAGCTCCTGTCTTTGAACTGCTACCAACTTGGCATGTGTCTTATGCTGCTTTACCCATACCTTCCATTACCAGCCATGTCCTTGAAAGTGAAAACGGGCCTAAGCTCTGTTTCCAGAGTGTCAGGATGTACTCAGTCATGCCTCTTGGGTGATGCTGATGGGGCCATTTCTCCCTTGCATTCTTGGGCTGGAAGAATGCATCCCAAGGTCCGGACTGATCCTCTCCTCAAGTGTTCAGGCCACTCTTCGGTACACACTTTCCCCCACTGTGAGGGTGTGGAAATGTGGCAGACGAACATGTTGTATCTCCTGTGGAACCTAATCAATTCTGTAGCAGTTCCCTAAGGGCTGGGCTAAGCAAGATAATGAGGCCCCGTCTGAACCCTGAGACAGACTGCTCTGGTGGATTAGTGATGTGCGTCACAGGCGCAGATGAGGAGCCCGTGCGTGATGTGCTCAGCATTCTCCATCCCAGCCCTACTGTGTCCAAATGTAGATTTCATTAGGTTTAAAAACTTTTGGTTATATAAGTCCCTTCCTCTTACTATAGCATTAGACCTGGGGTAAAGGACTCAAAGTGTTCTATATTTATACTTCCATGTGGAACCCTTTTATACAAAAGTGTGGCAGAGTACTTCTCCCGCTGAGTCAGGCTAAAGGTCAGCATTATGGACCCAGTGCTCCTCCTTCTTCCCAGGGGCACACAGCGAGAACCCTTCCTGGGAGCGTTCAGAAGTGACTTTTAAAACGCCGCCAGCATTTCCACCAAAGCAAAAGCACCAGAGCTCCCCAAAGCCACCCCCGGCAGGATCACATAAGGGTCCTACTGACCACGCAGCTCCTCTCTTCCGTCCCAGTGGACGCAGAGCTTCCATGTCTCACCCATAGTTCTGTACATGAAACACAACCAGAAGAAAGAGGCCGACAACAGTCAGATTCAGTTTCAGGCCTTCGTTCTGAAACCATTTAGGAAAACCTTGCACAAAATTCACCTCACGATGGCAAAAACAGAAATTCAACACAGCTCCCCTGCTGTAATAAAGCCATGTTCTGGGGGCTTTGGAAACTCAAGATAACAAATCAAACCCATTCTCTTCCTTTTTTATTGTTTGCTCCATTCTCAGTCAGAAAAACACTCGATATCTTTCTAATATAAAGTATTACAGAAAGAATCCCATTTCATAATTTTTATCTAAAGAACAACATTACAAAGAGAAGAGCATCATTAAGCACCAACAGCCCCACTTCTAGCTCTGTAATCATATTTATTCTATTTCCAAGGCAATCTTCCTCATCAATTCCATTTCCCTAATCAAATTACATTGTTTAAAAAGGCAATTTTAGTTAATACTTGCTGCACTCTGCCTTACAGTAACCCACCTCCTTGCTTTCTCCCCACCCAGCCCTTCCAGAGCATTGATGCCATTTATAAACTGCAGCAGCCACTCCTGCCACTTCCTCTGATTGCGTACAAACCACTCAGGCTAGAACATGTAAAAGTTTCCTCATAAAAAGTTCAATGGTTATAACAGAATAACAGCCTGTCTAAGAAAAACAAAAGTTAAAAATGAGAAAATATGTAAAAGCAGGTTGCTGTTCTCAAGATGTGAAGAACTCTTCCTTCCTTAGTAAAAGGCCAATTGGCCTGCAAACCATAAATCTCAGGAAGGACAATGACAGTGACCACAGACAAGCATGTAACTCATGAAAAATGGACAGAGGTCAGAGTTTTTCCTGTGGACTGGCAACTGAAGGAGCCCTGTATAAGGGTGCATGGGGGTAGTCAGATGATAAAGGAGTGTAAGAATCTCCACACAGACTGAAGCCCAGAGCAAAGCCCCATGGCCACTATATATATCATCTGTGCCTCTAGCACATGGCAGTTTTTGGGGAAAAATGAAGTTAAATGGACTGCAACAAATACCATAAGACAATATCATTAGCTAGACTGTGGCCCAAAGTATGCCCCACTTAGTATGGAATATTACATTGAAGTTTTTAAAAAGGCTTCCAACATAGGAGAACCTGTACTGTAACATCATGTAACTAATAGTGTCCCAGATTTTCTGATCAAGGAGATTATGCAGCAACAGAGGAAAGTGATCGACAATGTAGAGTGTGCCTAAGGAGAGTCACATGGAGAGAAAACATTCTCTCAGGCTTTCACAGAAAGCAAATTGGTCAAGCAATGGCCATGACTCATCCACATGGCTAACACTGACAAAGGATCTACAAACTGTGGTACAGGGTATCAGGGTAAATCCTGAAGGGATCTGACTGACCTTATCAGACACAAAAGCTACATTTCTTGTTATATAGGTCTTGCTTTATCTTGGTCTTAACCATCCAGCAGAAAAGTATAAAAATGAAGTATAAAAAGTAAAGCCACGTTAATATGCTGAGTTGTAAAAGGCTCAAGTCAACAACTTCTGACATTAACAATCCTACAGAAAACCCACTACTACTATGGACTACTGGACTATATTGGAATATTTTGCTGAATTCACGCACCTAAAATATTTAAGTGATAATGGAATACCCTTCTCTGATAAAACTAAGCAAAAAAGGGGGATACAAATGAATGACCATTTTGTATCTGTATATTCAAAACAGTTAGGATAGATACACAGCTACATTCTCTTAATGCAATGAAAAGAGAGATTTGTTCAACTAGTGTTTGTGGACAGGATATATGACTGCATCTTGTACAATGAATAACCACTAAGACAACAATATGCAATGTATTAATTATTGAAACTGTGCTAGTAATCTGCTTTGAAACTGTCTCACTGCCATTTCTCAATAAAATTATTTTTAAAAAGACAAAACAGATACTGTATAAAAATACCTTCAGCTTGTCTGTATATGATGTACATGAAAAAAGTAAGTTTTGTGTTTAGACTTGAAAAAAAAATAGATAAATAAAAATAAAAATAAAAAGCCTTCCAAAATAGAAACTTTGTTAGAGGAATATTTTTAGTGGAAAGAGATCCAGGTCACTTTTTGCTTTTGTAAACTATTATCTTCCAGAGAATCACAATTCCATGGAGCACTGAGAAAGTAAGATTAAACTGAAGATTCTCCCCCAAAAAAATACTTGAAAACTACTGACCTAGAGTACGGATACTTCCTTTTTAGGAAATCAAACTTAAAATTACCTAAAAATACTTGGGGTGGCGAGATAGTTCAGCCAACTAAGTGCCTGATGTGGCAAGCACCGAGATCGGGGTCTGATCCCCAGCCCCATATGTTGCACGGTCCTGCTCCCAGGTACACTGAGCCGGAGACCAAGTCCGGGCATGGTCATGCATGCCTGTCATCCCAGTGCTAAGAAGGCAGAAAATAGGAGGATCACTACGAGTCAGAGCAGACCCTGTACCAAATGCATAAATGGAAAAATAAAAATCATTTATCAATGCTCATCAGAAAATTACAAAAATACCATCTCTTATGCTCTCAAACCTGTTTCTCTTGCTTTTAAATAAAAACAAA